AATGTTCTCAATGTTGGAGGACATTTGCATTGTAAATAAGGAAAATACTTTGTTAAAATCATCCAACAAGGCGGCTATGACAGAGCTTACATATGTAGAATTCTCATTGTTTTGAAGTCAGTTGAACATTTATAATGGAGGAGATTATTACTATTCTTGACTTGCATTTCAGCGTTTTGGTGGTACTGATACAAAAGAATATTTTATCAGTGCTGCTGATGACACCAGCCGACGTGATTGGTTGACATTTTTTGGTAAACCTCAAGAAAATAGTCACAGTGTAGAAACAAACAGTATGGTCTCACTATATTGTGCAACTTGGTGCTGTCTACTTAATTATAGATTATTGGCTGCGGCAAGCCATCTCAGCGTTCCTGTTGGCCATAAAAAGCAATTGACTGGCTGCCACTATGCTAATCACATGCCGAATGAGATATGCACTACACAAAAAATTTCTAGAGTGGGACTACTGCTTGTTTTTATACTGTGGAATGGTTGCAAGTCATGAATATACGTATACGTAATTGGAGATGGTTTCAGAATGTATTGTTTTTCATTTAATGATATTTGAAATATATTACGATTGGGAAGTCACAGCAATATAAAAGGTTCACATGCAGTTTCATATGCTAACTCGTTGTCGCTGCAAGTTTTAGTGTGATAGAGTTGTATGATGCTTATGCACTCATTATTTTCTGTACATTATTCACTTTTGTTCAGCGTACTCCTTTATGAATGGAATTGGAATACAAACTGCTTTTCAAAACAGTTTGTAATAATTTGGAGAATTTTGTTGTGAAATTTTTGCTTTAATAGCCACAACAACATTAGACTTAGCCAGCTCAAATAAAGATCTTTACGCTAAAATTTCAATCAAACAATCGAATACATTGCAAAATTTTCATTTCAGAAATGCAAATCACAACGAGAAGTATGTCTCAGATGTTTGTAGATGTAGATCGTCCAGGTTAGTAGTGTCCTGAGAAGGACTATTGGTGTTGATAACGACTGAAACTTCGACAACGTTAACGGTAGTGACCTTCCGAGTTACGGGTGAAGTCCTTCGTGGGAAGCCACTAACTTTGACGATATACATCTACAAACATGTAACGATACTCCTGTGTTCAAACCATTTACTTTAGCATGTTTCGGAATATATTTTCGCGTAATAAATAAATGTAAAGGAGGCAAAGAAATGTTGGCGATAAAGCTGTAACGACGTCGGCGAGCGCTTGCAATTAATGAGAGCGCATTAAAAATTGTGTTCAGGATTTTTTGTGACGTTCGCCGAACATCGGTGCTATCATCGCAAGAAACAAAACAGTTTGTTTCTTACGATTATCGCTGATCAAAGCCGAGTATTTCTTGCGTAAAAATCTTTTAAAACAAGAAACTGTTGAGTTGGGTGATTTCGGCGACAACTTATATCATAAACAATTGAATCTGCACAGAAGTTATTAACATTGGTAGTGCCCCCTTGAATTATGGCTCTGAGGAGCTAACTAAAAACTTATGATCGCGCATGCGTGAAACATTGTGTAGTGAGTATGCAAACATCTTTTTTCACCATTGTATTGTTATTTTGCTTTAATATTATTTACACTTCACTGCACATCCCTTTAGTTTTATTTAGATAATATTATACATCGATGCATGTTTATTTATCATCAGAAAGGCTACTTTGCGTAAAACAATGTATAGGGAGTATATTTCTTTAAAATAATAGTTATAAATAGTTACTTTGCTCTTACTTATAGAATATGAATCGCTTATTTTTTATCGTATGTATAACAGTGTTCAATTGAAGTGTAATTAGCGCGTAAATATAGACGTAGTGGAAAATATTCACAAACTGCAATTTTATCCCAAAAAGCCCGTTTCGTGATATCTCACTCATTAGAGGATTTCAATGATAAATGAATATGTTTAAATATATATACAAGAGGACTGAAGTTAGCATTTTAAGCAAGAAGTATGATTATAAATTGCATAAGAGTGTTTTGTATATCTATGGCAATAAGAGGAAACACGTTTGTTACGTTTATTAAGTGATGATCGTGTTGGTTGTGGAGAAAGAAGAATTTTTCTTTCAGGCTAATATTGCATCTATTACTGTCGCTGCTCTACGGTTTTCTGTGTGTGATGATGTTCCATGAGATGTTTTCGTGGTCAATGTTGCTGTCTTTAAAGTGTCCAAAGGTGCTTACTGAGCTCGGTCGAGTTTTGTAGTTTTTTTTATGGCGGAAAGTGGCAGTGTGTTTGCCATGTGTAGTCTTAAATTCGTTTTCTGTAAGTCCCATGTACGTCTCAGTTGTGTTATTGTCTTTCCATTTCACAGTTTTTTGGTAGATGATGGATGATGGTAAGTAGTTTCCGTTAAGTGGGCTATGGGCTTTTTTTTCTGTCGGCAGTTGCATGTTCTGGTCTGTATTTTTTTGTTCGTGGTATTGTCGTTTTGTTGCATGCTCTTAAAATGTAATTGTTTTGATTTTGGATCATTTGTTCTCGATGTTGTCCATGTAGTTGTAGCTGAGTTTGATTTTCTTAAGGCCAAATACTTTCCTAAGTTTGTGATCTATGGGGAAGTGTTTGTCGATTAACAAAAGGAGTTTGTAGCCAACGTTTGTGTAGAGGTTTTTGCTGTAAAATTCTAGTTTGTGAATTTTTACGCTACCTCTCTCTCTCTCTCTCTCTCTACATACATATATGTAAAGGTATATATAGTGAAGTTTATATATTTCATATAAAAATTTTATTGTTAATAAAGATTGCCCAATACTAGAACAAACATATATTTATAATTGAAGTGATTGCAATTTTAACTTTTTTATAATCATATATGGTTCATTTATTTATAGCGTAGGATACCAAAGATGTAAATGGCAAACACGATCAATTCGTAGTTTAACTTTTCAAAAACGTAAAAATTATAACAATGAATGTTGGCGATCTTCTCTACTGTGCTTAGTGATTTCGAACGAATAATAATCAACTATACTTCGAAAAACGCAAAAAATTAAGCTTTAAACATACCAATTATATAGAGAGAAATGAATTGATGGTGTGTAGTTTTCCTAACTATCTACTATGTCTTTGGCAGTCTAGACTCGTTGTTAAATGCATGGATGCAACCATTAATATAGAGGGAGGTACAGTAGCTAAAACAACCATTTATATATAGCTAGATAAGGGTGGTAACATCATGTGAATTTTTTGTAGCATCACAATTTCAAAGAAATTTTACGTAATCCGTTCCGTACCATGACGCCACCACAATAAAAATACTCTATTCTTGAAAGAGTGTTTACTTGCATTACTTAAAGGGACATCAACAAACCTGTTTAATCGACAATAATTTTAATAAACAGTGTGTCATCCTTAATATAATGACGATTTTTCAAACTCTGCAATGGCATGAAGAGTGGAGATCCGGAAGCGATATTCATTTCAGACTTTGGTCGCTGAAACGAGGAGCTTTGAGGATCTGAATGAAAAGCATCAATCATGTGATCACCATTTCCTTGATCCATTAACATCATTGTGATCTTTTTCTGAAACGGCCATGCTTGAAGTGCATCGTAATCACCTAGAAAAATAAGCAGAAACAAAAATATATGTGTCAACCTGTTTGGTATGCACAACCATAGCTTAATTCACCCCACACTAAATTATATAAAGAAGCAAAGTTTCAAACAAAACTAGAACACAAACGCCAGTCAACTTGGAGTTACATAATATACAAAATGCTAAAAATTGTCTGTACCTTTCATGACAACAAAGAACAAAGATAAATGAGTTCCTTTTCCAAAACCATCACCATTCATATAAATCTTAGCACACATCTTGTAACCATATTGAGAACTGTAGAATGGTGGACTGGACATTGCTGTTTTGATACCATTAATGGCGTTCTGTCTTTTTCTATTGTAGTTATCTATCTTCCAAAGTAACGTACCATTGTAGCTGTGCATTACCTGATTAGATCCTAGTGCCCGGGAAACTCGTTGCGCCTCAAGATCCGTAATCTTCACGGTGTTTCGAGTAAGTGATTCGTCTATCTGATCTAAACGCTCGCGAAACCTTGATAGAGTGGATGAATTATCTCTCGCTTGTCTCTCCCTCGCTGAGATCCTATCACGCATCGAGGAAACCTCTAATGACGAGTGGGTATTTTTACTATCGTTACCACCACGAACCTCAAGAATTTCAGTCTTCTTTTCCAGATCTGAAAGTTTACCCACTAAAATAACAAATTTTTCTGAAAGATTAGCACGAACAGCAGTAACTTGGTCAGCCAAGCTTTGAACAGCAGTGGTAAACTCTGGACGTGGTACATAGTTACTTAACTGTGTAACAAATGCCATAACATATCGTAACAAGAGGCTCACATGATCAATTAGATTGTCATTTATATGTTGACGGATCTCTCTTCGTTTTATGGTCTGTGGAAAGAAAGACACAAAAATGTATTAGCCTAAACTATGCAAAATTTTTGACGTAAATTTTGTTCAAGTTAAAGATTGTTCAACCGTGTCGTTGCTGACATGATAATGTAAAACAAATCATATATTCTTACTTTATCATGGTTATATCCAATGTCATGAAATTCACATTTAGTTTGCACTTTATCACAAGTCGTACTTTGATGGTGTTCAATATCTTTTTTTCGTATGTTTTCTTTACAATACTTACAAATTACGGGGGAGTTTTCATACACATTGTCTATGTGGTCCTATATGTAAAATGAATGTACAAAGCAACGACAATTAGAAAACAAACAACTTGAAAGATGGCAAAAAAGAATTAGTGCCATCTGACAGGCTAAAGCAATGTCGACGCATGTATATGAAAGAAAAGGTTACATTCTGTAGACATTATACAGACTCATGTATATGGAAAGGCTAAATTTTCATTTTGTTTTTTAAGTACAAGTACGATGTAAATATAATTTTTCAAATCTCACTGTGTTCCATTAATCTAAGCTCAAATATTCCTCGTACCTTAAGTGAAGCATACGGGACATCTTTACCACAATATTCACATTTCACATTTCGATATTCACATTCATTCTTCAAATGTTCACCAAGGAGAGAGCGAGGTAACTGAATGTTACACTGCTTGTGTATACAGTTGATGAGCGCATGCTCACAAACTTGAGAATGACTCTGACGAAAAATAAAAACTTAATAAATAGTTATGCAGCACTTTCATGGTAACTTCCTGAACTCACTTCCAATTCCTGATAGCTGCCAAACCATTTGCACTGTTCGTAGGGACAATGTAAACGAATCTTTTTCAACTCACGCTTTGTAAAAGTATCCGGGAAAATCTATATAGGTTCAATTGAAATTCAAGGCTGTTAAAGTGCTTACACCAGAGTCAAGGAAATATATCGTTTTAAATAGTTAAATCGATTTTAAGAAAATTTGCAGTATATTCGATATATCTTAAATGGTTATTTTTGTCATAGAAGTACACCGGAAGTGACGTATGTAGGTGAACACAGTCGCATCGTAAAGTGGAAAGTTGTTTCCGTATTAAGTCATTTCCCGTAGCTTGATATACGCACTTTAAAGGTTGGTGCAACTATTGCTGATTAGTTGACAAAACAGACGTTGAGAATAGTTGTTTAATGTAATTATACCAAATTTTTCGTGCAAGGCTTTCTCAATCAGTGATTGATGTATTGCAGTATGGACATTTTCCGTCAGAACTTTAAAATATTTTCACCTACCTCATTTCTGCACAATTTTTCTTGATCTTCAGGACATTTCGGCTCAGGATTTCTACAGATTGTAAAAACTTTAAAAAAGATGCGATGAGCGTGGAATAGAGGTCATTATAAGACTGTTTCATCTTAACGACAATGATAAGCATGAATTTAGGATCCTCAAAAATTCTTCTCTTGCATTACAATTGTAACATAGCAATAATCAGATGCGTAGAACACATTCGGATGGGTGCAACTAAGATGGAATGTCATATTGGGTTAAAAATGCAACATCTAGATCGTTGGAGTCATGCAGTGAAATATGGGATACCACAGTTTGAAATGGAATATCATATTATTATGCCAGATAGAACGTTGGAATATGCAATACCAAATTTAAATGTGACATGTTTCAAAGATAATTATCACATTGGAAGAGTTCCAAAATAATTATCACATTATTACAGTTCCATAATACATATTGCTGTACCAATGCTTCTAATCTATAATTATATAACAAAACAACTTATTTATAGGACTATGCTATGACAATTGCTCGTAAACTATTTAAAAAAGTATATAAATTTTATAAGGATGATAAATACTAGTTCATAAAAGGAAGAAAATTCGGTTTATAACAGGAACTCAAACTCTATATATGCCTTAAATGGGAACATTTAACCCCCGCAATAGGCAACTGCGTCGATAACTTGCTGTTTGACTTTTGGTAGGTATGGACATGGGAGCACATTCCTTTATTGTTTACCAAATACCTGTAGTTAGCCATACAGCGTACATTACGGGCATTACAGTAATAGATTTCTTCAGTATGTAAACAAGAAGAAAAACAAAGTTAAACGAGCCGCATCAGTAGCCAGGAAAATCAGAAAGTTTATTGATATGCTGAGCCCCAATAGGACAATTGCATATAAAATCTTTGTTTCGCATCCGTGATAAATGTGATTTATTAAAGGTAAACCTCTCACTACACCTCATCCATCCGCAGTGAAGGCATAGCAAGACATGTTACTTAAGCCATTTTCCCCATACTCAAGTAGATATTTAGAGTTTTGTCTTGATTTACGTAATCTTTCCAATGTCTAATCGAATTTGCTTTAGAAAACTTCCGTAAGGATTTACGAGATTTATTTTTATACACTTTACATATAATTTGTATGGACGAAAGTCATAAAACTATACGGATTCAAATTAATAATGCGGACGGAGCCCTATGTCGGGGGCACCCACACCCACGAAATTAGGACTTTCTCTTTAGCTGGAACCAAAGTCCAAAATTAGTAAAACTTTGCGAAATAATAAAAGAGGATTAAAAAAATTTGAAATCTCCTCAATATACTCTTGGGTTGTATTCTTGACTTGCAATCATTCTTTTGAGATTTGCCAAACAATGTTGCTTGCCCACGCCGGCTGGTGCCAACAATAAAATATTCTTTTGTATCAGACCATCAACAAGGCTGAATTGCAAGTCAAGAATGGAGAATACACAAATACATTTAGTTAAAGTTAAATTTAGTTTTACTTCAGATAACTGACATGAACAAAGAAATGTTATTTAATTGTTAGAATGGCACTGAAAGGACAAAGAATGGCATATTTTTGAGTGATTTCAGAATTGGAAACCCGCGAGAGTGAAGAGCTATAACTAAAATAAAATAAAATTTTATCTGCTCTTTCAACGTTAATCGTAATGTGTTACGAAACAATAAACATCAAAACTTAAACACGCTTTAGTAAACGCATGTTATTCGTCTGAACCATACACCATAGCAAATAAGTGGTTTGAAACTTTGAATCTTTTTTTAAAATTGTTTGATCAAAGAACTTATAATCACTTACGGTAACTTAGGTACGAAAATAGGGGAAGTACCATATATTTATGCATATAATAATTATGCAGCACATTTCTGAAAATATTTAAAAAGACATGTGAACCATACTGGAAAGCTCATTTTTTCGGTTTCTTATAGATTTACACCAGTAATTAAGTAAGCAAGCTTTCTATTTTAACACAGAGCGCTTTTTTATTGAATTTTAGTAAATCAAAATAGGCCAAATTTGGCTTGCATTTTTGTCACGCCATCGATATCTGACGTAATATACATACGAAATTGCAAGCATTGCATTTTGCACCATGAGAATAATAATAATGGCTGACAACCATTTGTCTTTTCGGTTTGTGTATGTCTTAATATGTCAATGATTTCAGACTTATTTCTGTTGAAATAACCTTCCATAAAATCACTTGTGTGCAAAAAATGACGAAACTTATGACCTATTTCTCAAGCGTCTGTGTAATTTTATAATATTAAACTTCAAAAGAAACAATGTCAAAAGCATTATTGTCATACTTGTATATAATCAATTGCTAAATCTCATTCGTCGTAAATGATCTTTCCATTCACTCCATTTATGGCAATGTGGTCGATGTCACACTTAAGTATCACTACAAAATTTTAGCTTATGCAAAATTTTATAGGCTGCCTTCGTTTGAGGACATTTTTCATTCTGCATGCCAAGCATAATTCAGTTGTTAAAGATCTCAGCGAGAATAATATAAACCTGAACACACATATAACTTATAACAAGAAGTTACTAACGCAAGGGGATAGGAACTTCTAGTTATAAATTATGAGTTTGCTTTCTATCTATTAATGGTCACCATTTTGTAAACAAATAATCGTTTACAGAATTACCAGTACCACATTTTCCCAAGGATAGTTTATTTTCCATATTATTTTTGTTCTTACTTCAGCGTAAGTTTCCCGTTGATTTGCAAAAATTATCTAATTAAGCGAAGTAGCTGTTTTTCTTTTTTCAACAGAAAAAATGTTGTATTCAGTTAAGGTTTTACTCAAAGGCACAATAAATATATTGTACTTCGTAAGGTCCATATCATTTTTTAAACTTAAACCAGGAATAACATAAGAATAACAGAGAATTGTCCAAATTTTTTGACCAAACGGATAAAATCAATAATGTTACTATAAACTCAATGTTATTTACCTTCGGTTCTTTTAAATGAATGTTCAAAGTTTTATTTTTGTGTAGCACTGTGCTTAATTTTGAGTAATACAGGGCAAATCGTGTGAATTATTCAAAGCACAGCATTAGAATGTTGTCAAAATCCCAGCAGCGTAAATGGACGCGTTGCCATTCCTGCTATGCAAAATATAAAGTCGCAGTTTTTTGATACACTGAATGTACATCTATAATTGATTAAATTTTCAACAGGGTTTTTATGACTAGCTTATAGGGTTTCACACCACAGCTAGCGACCATCAGCATCAGTTATGCTCTAGTTATTCTTTGATGGAGATTGGAAAACTTCGTCTATTCGTCATTGTGTTTATGATAAATTGATAAATCTTCTATTTCCATATATGGTCACAAAATGCTCTGACAAAAGGATTCTGTTACAATAATTTGAGCAAGCAAACTGGAGGAAGTTGCTCACAGCAACAAAACAAGCATTAAGTTCCCACTCTGCGACCTGAGACAGAAACCCGCACATTTATAGACCTCAAAGGTACAAGATGGTAGCTCCAAGCATGACGAAAAACATTCGAAATGAAAAAAATCATCACCTTTATTTCAGTTTGAAACCATTGAACAAGATGAATCCACTGTTTCAAAGAAGAATTTAGATCCTGAATCAAAAGTGGCAAGGCCAAAGTGGAGGGCTGAAATAATCAAAACTTAGTCACATGTCGTGTATCATAAATCAAAAATACCCAACTTTTACATATATAAATAAATTTAATTACTTTCTTCTTTGTTTTCAAAGAGAAAAGCAAAGAAGAAAGCACATTTAAATTATATAAGCTCTTACAGTTTATCTTCCCTCTCTGACAGATAAAAGACATGGTATAATTGCGTGGGACGTCATTCCACTGGCTATTGAAATAAAAATAATGTACACAATCCTCTACACCAAAACGATTATTTGGTTCATTACGATGCCAATTTGTGAAATTAGGTTTGGTATTCTGGATTGTGTAAAACATATTGTCACTTTTTTTGCGAAAGAAGCCAATATAAGTATGAGTAAGCCCTTCTCTTTCCGAAATTTGGAATGTTAATCAAGACTGCACGGCACTGTTCAAAGATAATCTGATGCATTTCATGATACACACTGAAGCTTAAAAAGGTCAACCAAATGCTTTATGAGTTGTAATACAAAAAGATTTAGAATAGTCCACTGTTCAAACTAGAAACGTTTAATTAATACATCACAATATCTCATATAAACTACCCGTAGTACCATTGGAGATAAAGTAAAATTCAAACAGACAAAGTTGAGGAAAAATACTGCAAATTGAAAGCTGGTGCTGCTTTGTTCGTACGCAACCCATTAAATCTTAAGCAAATCATTGCATATCGAACAACTCGTTGCAAACCAAAATTTCTGTTGAACTCTCAACACAACTAGCATTATGTCCTTGATATAAATTCGTCACGGAAATGAGTTTGAAGCAGGCAAGTTAAGATACATGGAGAAAAAGTTTTCTGTAAATTAATAACAAAATACCTTACTAAACCAGAAATTTTACGCCCATGATGCTAGCTAAAAATTAATATTGAAAATGATAAAAAATGAAGGACATAAACTCTGTGCGCTCTTTTAATAACTTAGTTTCAAATTGGCGAATGTTAAAAATCTTTCGTCCATCAAGGTAAATGCTCTGTTTTGCAACCACTCTCCAAATCTATCCCTACTCATCTCCAACCTTTCTAGTTAACTATCATTTTTATAAACAATGCATCATCTTTAATGTACTGGCGATTTTTTAAACTTTCCAATGGCATAAAAAGAGGTGATCCAGAGGCAATATTCATATCGGACTTTGGTCGCTGAAACGAAGAACATTGAGGATCTGAATGAAAAGCATCAATCATGTGATCTCCATTTTCATGATTGATTAACATCATCGTGATATTTTTTTGAAATGGCCATGCTTGAAGTGCATCGTAATCACCTAAGATTATTAATATACAATTACATACGATTGTTGACAGTTTTTTGCACTTAAAAATGTCGACACTATTCGGCATAGTGCGTAAGTTGAATTCTCACGTAATTTCTGAGAATTTCAAAATTTCCCTTATTAAAGTAAACGAGGACTCCCTCCCTCATTTTTTACAGAACGCCAAGTCTGGTTGCAATAAGACTTTTTATAATTTAAGAATAAAGAAAATAACGAGGGAGTCCTCGACTCGATCAAAAAAGGAAATTTCCATTATGAATTCTACACAATACTAATGATGCTAGTATTTTAAGTTTATTATGTCTTGACTTTAAATATTCAAGTCCAAATTCAATAAAATAATCATTGAATAAATTCCATTCTGTTAAAAAATAGTTCTTCGATTGAGATTATCTCAATTCACATTCCCAGATAAATTTAATTTTAACCTTAAACATGTCATCATAATTATTGAGTTCACTCTTATTATATCATAGCGCATTTATAGAAAGTCTACTTTTGACTAAATCATAATGTCCAGAAAAAGAAAAGAAGCCAGCAATATATATACATCCGTTACTTTCAAAGCATCAAAAATAAAACAAAGGAAAATGTTTATACCTTTCATGACAACAAAGAACAAAGATAAATGAGTTCCTTTTCCAAAACCATCACCATTCATATAGATCTTACCACACATCTTATAACCATTTTCAGAACTGTAGAATGGTGGACTGTACAAGGCTGTTTTGATACCATTAATGGCGTCCTGTCTCTTTCGATTGAAGTTATCAATTTTCCAAAGTAACGTACCATTGTAGCTGTGTGTGGCCTGATTTGACCTAAGTGTACGCGAGCCACGTTGCGATTCAAGGTCCGTAATCTTAACTGTGTTTCTCGCAAGTGATTCGTCATTTTGATCTAAACGCTCACGAAATCGTATTATAGTTGAGGAATTATCTCTCACTTGTCGTTCGAGAGTCGCAATCCTATCACGCATCGAGGAAACCTCTAATGACGAGTTGGCATTATTACTATCGTTATCACCACGACTCTCGATGCTCTCAATCCTCCTTTCTAAGCCTGTAAGTTTACCCACTAACATCACAAAGTTCTCTGAAAGATTAGCACGAATAGCAGTAACTTGGTCAGCCAAGTTTTGAACAGCAGTGGTAAACTCTGGACGTGGTACATAGTTACTTAACTGTGTAACAAATGCCATAACATATCGTAACAAGGCGCTCACGTGATCAATTAGATTGTCATTCATATGTTGACGGATCTCCCTTCGTCTTATGGTCTGTGGAAAGAAAAACACAAAAATTGTGCCACATTCAATAAACAAACCGTCGCCAAGAAGACGTTTATTGGATACCATTTACTTTTCATTTCATTACATAATTTGAATCTAACTTTGATGAAGACCGTTTATGCATCATACTAAATTATAAGATATATTAGCCTAAACTATGCAAAATTTTTGACGTGAATTTTGTTCAAGTTAAAGATTGTTCAACCGTGTCGTTGCTGACATAATAATGTAAAACAAATCATATATTCTTACTTTATCATGGTTACATCCAATGTCATGAAATTCACATTTAGTTGGCACTTCATCACAAGTCGTACTTTGATGGTGTTCAATATCTTTTTTTCGTATGTTTTCTTTACAATACTTACAAATTACGGGGGAGTTTTCACACACATTGTCTATGTGGTCCTATATGTAAAATGAATGTACAAAGCAACGACAATTAGAAAATAGACAACTTGAAAGATGGCAAAAAAGAATTAGTGCCATCTGACAGGCTGAAGCAATGTCGACGCATGTATATGAAAGAAAAGGTTACATTCTATACACATTATACAGACTCATGTGTATGAAAAGGCTAAATTTTCATTTCGTTTTTTTTCAGTTCAAATACGACGTAAATATAATTTTTCAAATCTCACTGTGTTCCATTAATCTATGCTCAAATATTCCTCGTACCTTAAGTGAAGCATACGGGACATCTTTACCACAATATTCACATTTCACGTTTCGATATTCACATTCATTCTTCGAATGTTCACCAAGGAGAGAGCGAGGTAACTGAATGTTACACTGCTTGTGTATACAGTTGATGAGCGCATACTCACAAACTTGAGAATGACTCTGACGAAAAATAAAAATTTAATAAACAGTTATGCAGCACTTTCATGGTAACTTCCTGAACTCACTTCCAATTCCTGATAGCTGCCAAACCATTTGCACTGTTCGTAGGGACAATGTAAACGAATCTTTTTCAACTCACGCTTTGTAAAAGTATCCGGGAAAATCTATATAGGTTCAATTGAAATTCAAGGCTGTTAAAGTGAGTCAAGGAAATATAACTTTTTAAATAATTAAATCAATTTTAAGAAAATTTGCAGAGTATTTGATAGTAGAAGATTTTATCTTAAATGGTTATTTTTGTCATAGCAGTAGAGGACTCAGCACCGGAAGTGACGTATGTAGGAGAACACACTCGTACCGTCAAGTGGAAAGTTGTTTCCGTATTAAGTCATTTCCCGGAGCTTGATATACGCACTTTAACGGTTCGTGCAACTATTACTGATTAGTTGACGAAACAGACGCTGAGAATAGTTGTTTTATGTAATAATACCAAATTTTTCGTGCAAGGCTTTCTCAATCAGTGATTGATGTATTGCGGTATGGACATTTTCTGTCAGAACATTAAAATATTTTCACCTACCTCATTTCTGCACAATTTTTCTTGATCTTCAGGACATTTTGGATCAGGATTTCTACAGATTGTAAAAACTTTGAAAAAGTTGCAATGAGCGTTTAATAGAGGTCATTATAAGGCACGCAAAGCACAATGTTCAGAGCTAGGACTGTTTATCTTAACGACAATGATAAGCATGAATTTAGGATCCTCAAAAATTCTTCTCTTGCATCACAATTATGACATAATGAAAATAAGCAATAAGCAGATGCGTAGAACACATTCGGATGGGTGCAACTAAGATGGAATGTCATACTGGGTTAAAAAAATACAATATATAGATCGTTGAAATCATGCATGTAATATGAGATACCACAATTTGAAATGGATTATCATATTATTATGCCAGATAGAACGTTGGAATATGCAATACTAAATTTAAATGCGACATGTTTCAAAGATAATTATCACATTGAAAAAACGTAAGATATTTAACTACCATATTCAATATTTTTGTACGTTTTAATAACATCAATCGATTCAGTTACAACAGTCACAATTTAGGGTTAAAATTTCAACAATAAATTACCCAAGCAAGATCTCTATACAAGATTCACAAAACAAATGTCCACACATGGTCTGCATTGGATTGAAGAGGAGTAGACAGTGGGTACATATGTACTTTGCATGGAGAGTTTCTTGCTCTTCATTACGTATCTGTGTTCCCGGCATATTGAATGATGGCAAATCCTTAACACTACAATGAAAATTTTGTCAAAATTAATATGGTCTCACACAATTGCAGAAATATTGTAGTGTAAAAAAACAACAATAATCTCAAATTTAGCTGACTGAGCACAAGCAGGCTGCAGCTCATGCATGTTGACATAAGTTGAGTTGGAATAAATGCTTTCTTGTTGCACTGAATTATATGCTTCATCACTTTTTAATTATAACACACAATTCATGATCTCAAATCAGATCCAATTTTCCATTATGATAAATATAGGGAACAGACAGAATTTAAAATCAGTAGTATATCATATGATAAGCTTTTGATAAAATAGGGGGTTCCTCACTTCTTTCTAATATGTTTGCGCACTGAGAAGCCGGTCTAAAATAACTGTAATTGTCTATTTTCCTTGCTAATCACCCTTCTAAACACAGTTTTGACAGTGTCAATTTACATTCCAATGTTTCTAGATTTACAAATCGCATTTCGCCAGCAAAATTGGGTGAAATGAATATGACATAATTATAGCTAATGGCGTACGACAATTAGCAATTCTTACACAATTTCCCGAATGAAAAACAATTAAACTCGCGGGAGTAATTTTCTGAAATGTACAGTTTTATGCCGAATAAATGTAAATAATACGAATGAGTAGAGGGTCTTTTCAAATAGTTGTACTCGTAGTTTTATTCCAGGTACATGGCAAACAGAGCCATTCCACAAGTTTAGAATAGAGGAGAGTATTTGTTCATCTTTCGGAGGTAATGTTTGTAAATGATGAATGTCCAGGTTAGTAAAGTCGCCAACCAAACACATGAAACTCTAGTATTACAGATAAAAATATAAATTAACTCTATACATGTTTGTAAATGTCAATCGTCCAGGTTGGTATAGTCCTGAGAAGGACTGTTTTTGTTGTTGTTGACTGACGTTTCGACAACCTTAGCGGTAGTCATCTTCAGAGTCAAATGAGTAGTAAACGTCAGGTTAGCCGTATTTGTTATCTGGTTCTTACGACATTGTATTGTGTGTACAAGAAATGTGTATTGTCATTGTGGATTAGTGTGAAGTGAAATATTTTATTTTTAGTTGTGTTGTGTGATTTAGGCCTGTTCATATGAGCCCGGGTAGCCGGGATTCAGCGAAGCGTTTAATCATTTTAGCAAATGGAAAAGATTAATTCCTTCACAACAAAAAAGTTATTTAAGCAATTTCCCTATGTTCTGAATTTGCAAATTCACAAAACCTTTAAAATGAAAACAAATAATTAGGCCAGATTTTAAAATTACAACTAAAATGATTCATGACTTATAAGAAAGATTGTAAGTTTTGCGTTTAAAGTTTTTACTCCTTTCAATATCTCAAAATCATTTCACGCCTCGCTGAATCCCGGTTAGCTGGGCTCATGTGAACAGCCCCTTAGGTGTGATGTTTTTAGTTGTAATGTGTGGTGTCAATTGTGTATTGTCATTGTGAATTAGTGTGAAGTGTAATGTTTGTAGTTGATCGTTTGTTTGTATTGTGAATAAGTCGTTTGTAAGGTGACGGTAATTGCTGTGATCTGTTCAGGGGTGTTTGTTCCAAGTTGGTATACCAACTTTCTAATGTAAGCCGTTGCCTATAGTCAGTACTGTAAGTGATGCATTTTGCCGAGTCGCAGTCAATGTTGTGCTTTGTGATTCTGTGATGTTCGGCAATGTGATTAGTTTTGTCTTGTTTCTTAGTAGCTCGTTTGTGTTCAGTAAGTCTTATGTTTAAGTTCTTGCCAGTTTCTCCGATATAGGAGGCGTGGCAGTCGGAGCAGTTTATTTTGTAAACTGCACCTTGTCGTTCGTTGGGTTGTTCTTTGTCCTTTATGTTCGTTAGTACTTGTCGTAACGTTGTGATTGGTTTATGTGCGACACGTATGTTGTATGGTCGTAAGATACGCGAGATAGTCTCAGACGTACCTTTGATGTAAGGTATCGTTGCTGTTGTCACTGAGTTGTTCGTTACGTTGGGTTCATTGGGTTTGTAAGTGTTGCGTTTGATAAAGTCAGAGTTATAGTTGTTTTTGTCAAAAACACGTTTGAGATAGTTGTTTTCGTTTTGTAGAGCGTCCGGTGAATCACATATGATTTGTGCACGTCTTGTTAATGTTCTGAATGTGGTGGCTTTGTGTGATGTAGGGTTGTAAGATGATTGGTCTAGTAGTCGGTCAGTATGTGTTGGCTTGCGAAAAACGTTCGTAGTTTTTGATTGTCATGTTTTAACAAACAGTCGAGAAAAGGAAGAGTTCCGTTTTCTTCGACATCTTTGGTAAATTGTATGTGGCTGTTTTGTTTGTTGATGTGAGTATGGAAGTCATCAATCTCGTCTGCATGTAGTGCTGTGATTATGTCATCTACGTAGCGAAACCAAAAAGGTAGTGCGTGTTTGTAAGTCATGAGCGCCCGTTCCTCTATAGATTGCATTACAATTTCAGCAACTACAACAGAAACGGGCGAGCCCATTACATGGGACAGCAATCACTTTTGCTATCATTTGATCGATAAACCCATATATATAATTTGAAAGAACCTCTAACGGTTCGTCAAGTTGCCGTCAGGATGCGTTCGCAAACAAAGAGCAAACCATAAACATTGAACATTGAGCTGTGCGAACAAGCACACAGAGAAAATACGAAAGGTCTTGATATTTGTGGGCAAGCTGGGTCTCCAAAAATAGTTAATGTAGCTCGTGTAGCTGATTTGCTAGTCTTCTTGATGAGAGCAGTTTAACATCTGCAACCTATCATTTCGAACAAATTTTCGCATGCATAGTCCAGTTGATGGTCAGTATTAGTAAATTTGGAGTCTATCACTGGCATCGCAATTTGTCAATGAGATCTTCCAGCTACTTTCAATAACGCTTCAAACTTTTTCCGTGTCGTCGGTTTGCACCATGTTCAGATATTCGCCTTCTTTAGAATTTTTTAACGCGCTCTCCTATAAAATTTCGACCACGAAGCTCTTACCCTTGCTGCTACAACTGCTGAAATTGCTGCTTTAAATTGTAACCATGTTTGAGGATGTATAATCATATATTCGGTTGTACCAGACTCATTTCTTTTGAAAGTGGACTGGCTTTATAAAAAATTATGGGGTACAATTGAATGTATGAATATAGACACGTAATTAACGTAAACTTTATATTTATCTGGGACAGTCATTGCATAGTATTACAAGAAAACAAGACGCTAAATTGAAAAACGCACCTCTCATTTTGAATTGAAAAGAATAAGTTATTCATATGGTATTTATAGTTTTTCATTGTCATCCGCAGGGCCGGATCAACCTCTCAGGTGGCCTGGCTCCCTCATTATGTTGATTGGGTGGCCTTTCTTCACATATCAGTGCCTTTCGTACCTAATTTTCTCCTGTAACACTTGATGTAATACAACGTTAAACAGCTAGAGGTACATCGTACTGTGAGAGCACCTATACATGCAACAAACAGACCAGTCCCTAAACCCAAATTTCTCAATGTGTTTTTTTTTTGGATAGAAAAAGGGCTGAGGTGCGTTTTCGTTTGGGTGTCCTACGACTCTTGTAATTTCAAGGTTGTTGGCCTATAGGTCCTTTGTAATTCGTTATAACTGATCAAGCGCTATTGTTGTTTTTATCGACTATTTGAAAGCAAATAAATGGATTAAAATTGTTCCCTTTTTCTCTCAATGAAGTGCAAATTAATACTGTAAAGTGCACTTACTAAATTTAATGAATCTATGCAACATACGAAGGTTTACGATAATGGCGCGATAGAAACTAATTGCAAAATTAGTGCAAATTTGAAAAGCTTCTTTCTTAGCTATAAAAACCCACAGACGTCAGAAGAAAACCAGTTCATCTTGTCTTCTTTAGATAAATCTGAGCCATTACCACACACAGTGAATAGCAAAACAAATAATTTATTAGTTCGCACAACCGATCAAGAACATTACTTCCCAAAATGAAAGTCTCTATTCTAGGAGATTATGAATGAAAAATTTTGACTTTTTATGCTTACGCGATATGTCTAGAGACTCCTAAGACTTGTTCAAGCTGTATTACTTTATGTGATCAAATCAAACATTACTGCCATACCGTCTTTCGCACGCGCGCTGGTTAACAAATCACAATTCAAGATAACAGACTCACTCAAGCAGATTGAGCTTTCGACCAAAGATTACACACGAGAACAATACATACTTCCAAATTCTGATTTTCTGTTACGCTAATTTGTTTTCTGGGCTCAATTCTTACAGTTACATAATACAAATTACTGAGCCAATGCTTCTGATCTATACTTATACTATAAAACTACTTATTTATAGAACTATGCTATGACAATTGCTCATAAAAAATTTAAAAAAGTACATAATTTGTACAAGGTTGATAAATACTAGTTCATAAAAGGAAGAAAATTGGATTTATAACAGGAACTCAAACTCTATGTATGCCTTAAATGGAAACATTCAACCCCCGCAATGTGCAACTGCGTCGATAAATTGCTGTTTGACTTTCGGTAGTTATGGACATGGGTACATATTCCTTTATTGTTTACTAAATACCTGTAGGTAGCCACATAGCGTACATTACGGGCATTACAATGATCCATTTCTTCAGTATGTAAACATGAAGAAAAACAAAGTGAAACGAGCCGCTTCAGTTGGCAGGAAAATCAAGAAGTTTAATGAAAATGCGAGCCCCAATTTGACAATTTGAAATAAAAGTCTTTGTTTTGCATTCATGATTAAATGTTATTTATTAAAAGTAAACCTCCCACTACACCTCAGCAATCTTCAGTGAAGGCATGGCAAGGCATGTTAACTAAGCAGTTTTCCTCATACTCAAGTAGACATCTGGAGTTTTGTCTTGATTTACGTCATCTTTTCTATGTCTAATCAAATTTGATTAAGAAAACGTCCGTAAAGATTTACGAGATTTATTTTTATACTCTTTACATATAATTTGTATGGACGAAAGTCATAAAAACTATACGGATTCAAATTAATAATGCGGACGGAGCCCTATGTCGGGGGCACCCACACCCACGAAAGTAAGACTTTCCCTTTAGCTGGAACCAAAGTCCAAAATGAGTAAAAATTCTCATCAATATACTCTTGAGTTGTATTCTTGACTTGCAATCATTCTCTTGAGATTTGCCAATAACGTTAATCGCAATGTGTTACGAAACAACAAACATCAAAACTTATACACGCTTTAGTAAACGCATGTAATTCGTCTGAACCATACACCATAGCAAATTAGTGATTTGAAACTTTGAATATTTTGTTGAAATTGTTTGTTCAAACAACTTATAATCCCTTACGGTAACTTAGGTACGAAAAAAGGGGATATAATTGTTATATATGTATATAATAATTATGCAGCACATTTCTGAAAATATTTAAAAAGACATGTGAACCATACTGAAAAGTTCATTTTTTCGGTTTGTTATAGATTTACACCAGTGATTAAGTAAGCAAGCTTCCTATTTTAACACAGAGCGTTTTTTTATTGAATTTTAGTAGATCAAAATACGCCAAATTTGGCTTGCATTTTTGTCACGCCATCAATATCTGACCTAATTTACATACGAAATTGCAAGCATGGCATTTTCACCATGAGAATAATAATAATGGCTGACAACCATTTGTCTTTTCGGTTTGTGTATGTCTTAATATGTCAATGATTTCAGGCTTATTTGTCTTGAAATAACCTTTCATAAAATAACTTATGTACAAAAAATGACGAAACTTATGACCTATTTCTCAAGCATCTGTGTAATTTTGTAATATTAAACTTCAAAAGAAACAATGTCAAAAGCATTATTGTCATACTTGTATCTAATTGATTGCTAAG